CAAGGGTCTTACCAGGGCTCGGGGCTCTAGCAACGGAGTGAACGGCGATCCTGTGAACTTGGGTGGGCAGTCAGCAGGAAGGCTGGGTGGAAGGAGGGAAGGGAGCTCGAGCTCCTGCCCTCAAACACGCTACCAATACTTTGAAAGAAACATGGGGAATTAAATGACATGAAGTTGGTGACAATTCCATCTCAGTATTTACAGTTGAGAGAAGGATGGAAAGCACGACCAGCCTCAAAGGAGTGAGGGAGATGCAGACCGTATGGAGCAGGACCAGGCAGCAGGGGTGGGACACAAAGGTTCCTCTCTACGCACTGTGCCTGACCAAGCTACCCTCACTGAAGGAACACTGGGCTCTGCAATCTCCCCAGACAAGTCTCCCTTGTGGGTGCTTTGTTGTTATTTGCAATTCAAATGCACAAGATCGCCTGTCAAATATATCAAGGACAGAACAAAATATTCTGAAAATTTCTACAAACAGTGATCTGGACATATTGTTAAGGGTAAAAGCCGACTTCGGAGCTTTGATTTTCTTAAAAAATAAAGCAGGGAATAGGCACACACTGTTAAATGATGTTAAATGAATGAACAAATGGGAGAGAAATGAAGGTGTATTTAATTTGCAATAGTCTTATTTTAATAATGTAAAAATATTTGAGCTGCCTTCATAATTGCTTAGTCTTTCCTTTATTTTTACTACTGGTCACATATTCAAGTCCAGGCTGGTCAAAGTTCACTCAACTAACATATGCCCATAATATAACATCCCTGCCTTTCTATGTGATAAAGTGAGTATGCTCTCCCCGTGTGTTTCTCTCAGAGGAAAGGATAAGAGGGACTCCATGGTCTCACCTTGTGTCCCGGGAGATGTAGCTGAAAGACAGTGGGGGACACATTTAGCCATGGATCTAAAGATAACTTGTCTCCATGATACTCATCCTGAAGCTCATACTGTAATACTGAGCCTTCCCGAAGCTTTTTGAAGACAACAGGCCAATGATTTCCTCCAATTAGAAACTCTTTATTTAAACTAATGACATCTAAAATCACCACAATTAAAGGTTCCCCCAAACTGTAAATGTGTTTAACCCAGAGAAGACAGACCCAGGGAGCTACATTTTGGGGGACATAGGACAGTAAGTCCTTGCCTAGTTCCTGAGAGTGACCTTGAGGGGCAGCAAAAGCCAGGAAGCTCAAGCCTGGTAGGGCAAGTGGGCGGTTACCCAGCTTCTTACCCTACTGAACGCTGCCATGTTTCAGATGATCGTGTCTGCATGCCTGAAAAGACAGGATCTAGAAAACTTAAAACAGGTGATTTTGGACTAAATCTCAGGGGAGATGCTGAATGCCTTATTAGAAGGTGACAGTAAAAAGATTGATTTCTTTCATTCTTTGTTCCTTGCTCTCCAAAAAAAAAAAAAAAAAAAAAGAAAAAGAATAGTAACTTCGAAAACCTCAATGCTGAAACTTGAGGCATGGCCCTGTTGGTGATTTTATGTGTCAGAATGCAGATGCCGTGGGAGCCTAATGGACATTAGGCATCAGAAAGGAGGGTACAACATAATAAAATAAAATTTTTAAAAAAAGGAGGATACAGGTTTTGTGGCTCAGAATGAACTTCCAAATAAAGCAGGATCCAAATATTGCATACCTGAATTTTTAACAGATGGTGGATGCTTATACTGAAATATTATTTTTATGCTTTGTATTTTGATTTGTCAGACTATTTAAGCAGACCAAGTCATGACTAAAATTCCTATTTGAATAAACATTTAGTTGCTCATAAATTTGGATTAATAATATATTAGAATACTATTTGCTTCCAAAAGAATAAAGCCTGAAATCTCATTAAATAGTTAGAAAGAGCTGGTAGTACAGAAATATACAAGGTAACAGCAGTTTGGTGAAATTACAAAGCGTTTCATTGCACAAGTGACCCTTTCCTACATGACTTAATTTTCATAATGTAACTCATTTTTTTTTAAGATTTAAGATTAGGGATCTTTCACCCAGTTATGATTTGTAGATCTGCTTCTCAATTGCAATGAACAGATAAACAAGACTACAGATGTGTCAGTTGAAAGAGAACCTTTCTTGGCACTTGAGGAATTGGCTCCCTTACTGAGCTCTGTTCTCTGTACAATGCAAGATTCTCTGTAACATTGCAAGATCTGGGCAGATCCTCCCACCCACTGACTTTCCCTGGGGCTTTTTTTTGTGGGGGGCGGAATCCAGGGATTTGTGATGCCCTTTAAAACAGCAAACTTGAGCCTCATTATCAAGTTGAGCAAGATTAGGAAAGACTCTTGAGTCTCCTTCAGGGATTAGTTCCTAGTTTAAAACAATGCTGGATTTGAAAAGAACTTCTCGCAGGCACCAATGGATTAATCTTGCCATTTCTCCACTGAGATAAATGAAAGAAGAAACAATGCCAGCAAACACTATTCTTTCAAAGGATCCTCAAAAACCAAACATTCTACAGTGCAAATGTCAAGATTTATAAAAGGGAGGAAATATGTTGGGACCTTCCAAAACAAAATAAATTCTCCTACTTATTTTGGCCATGTGCTTCTATTCTTTTCAGACTCAAGCCAGATTGTTCACATGTAAGAAATATTTCCTTGTGGATTCATCTCAGAAGAGTCACACACCAGCCTGCTCCTCCCGGGCCACCTGGGGGGCTGGAATGCACTAAGAGAATGGAAGTTAAGATCTAAATGAGGCCAAAACAAATCTAAAGGGGAAGAAATTCAACCTCATCATAATGATATTTCGTATTTTTCAAAGCTCCCAAATAAATAATATTTAGAATGTCTATCATCTTATTGTTATTTTTAAATAATGTGATTAATAATATAAAGAGTACAGATATTTAAACAGGTTTCAATTGGAAGAGAAGTTACCATAAGTTTATCTTTGAGAACTGTGTGAAATCCAAAAGGAAACATGATTTTAGAACTAATCCATTTGACAGTTCTGTGTTCTCTTCTTCACCAGATGTGTGACCTTAACATAACCTGAAATCTGCTAACTTCCATCAGTCAGTGTAGGCTTCCCTAGTCCTATGGCAAAAAAGCATCTGTCCTTAGTGACAGAAGTTCTTTTTATAAGAAGCTCTGCCATTCATTTAGGGCTATCTGTGACAAATAGCACAGAAGGAACTCTCTTACTGAGTGGGTTGGCTTCAAACTCACCACCCAACTTTACTTTCTATCATTCTAAGAGGACTCTGAATTTGAAACTGCTCTGGGGCCTGTCCAATTGGAGAAGAGCAAGGTGAGGAGAGCAAGTAGCATCTCATTAAGCACCCCAATGAGTAGGCGCTGCACTAGGTGTGTTTTATTTGACATTTCATTTAGTGCTTACAGCAAATCCATGATGTAGGATTATGACCATCCTCATTTTGCAGAAGAAAGAGCATAAACAAGTTTCTCAACATCACATAACCACTGTTAGTAGCTTCTATGTCTGCCTTCAGAGTCTACTCCATTTACAATAAATATCCTTTATCTTCTATTTATAATATGAGGACAACTAAAAAACAATCTTGCCTTTATAAATAATAGTAATGAAAAATCCTAAGTCTGGAGGGTTTGTGGGGTTACTTTCACCAAACTTGGACAATTTTTGGTGATAATTATCAAAGCCAGATGATTTTCAAAGTTGTAACTATTATAAATTGAAGTTCAAATACAAAACTGGAAATTAAAATTTTAAGTTTTGCTTTAAAATTGGAAAGCCAACAAGAAAAGGCACTTTCATAGTTTTACCCATTTTTAAGACACTGACAAGTGCTACATAGTTTGTAGACTTAAATGCAAGATAGGGTTAGTTGCTACCTTGCTATAATTGTTTTTTACACCAAGTACTTGTTAATATTTGCCTTAAAAATAGCAGAATATTGATATGCAATGTGATTGATGTGATTGTGTTTTTTACCCATAAATGATTTTCAGCAGTAGTATCATTTCTAGATTGTATAGATCTGTTGAATTATAGCCTCACTTTATTGTTCTGTTTTTAATAACTATACAAGGTAATTTGCTGCTTATTTGTGAGGCACATAGGTCATTTGCCATAACTGAGACTTGTCTTCCTTGAGGCTTTTGTGATTACCATTCTCAAAGTAAGTGATTTCAATTAACTTCAGTTTTGCAGGTTAAAGTTCTTGCCAAAACTTCTGAATAAAAACATTTGGTAGCTGTGTCTTGGGTCAACTGTCCAGAGGAAGTTTTTTTTTGTAATTTTTTCTTTGTAAATTTCATCTTTCAATTACCAAACCAATTACTTTGTAAACTGATGTTGCTGAAACTCATATAACAAAATACAGTCATTAGAATGGATCAGTGTTCAGAAACAGGTCCAGGGACAGGGACGAGCTGTCTAACTTGCTCTCCATATGCCGAGTGAGATCTGACGTGCTCGTTGATCCTCCTGAAACTCTTTCTGCTAAAATACATAGCTAAAAATTAACATACATTTTCCTCAATAGCGTTATCTTTTTCCAATTCTCACACTTTCCCAAAGGTATATATTTTTTCTCTGGAATGCTTTAAAATAACTTGATCAAAACATGCTAACACAAGTCCACTCTGAAGAGCAAGGTGCATGGACCAGAAAGCTTCCCTTCAGGGAGGAATTACTTTTTTTCTCTCTAAATATTTTGTAATAACTAAGGCATCTAGACAATGGGCCATAATATTATGAATCTAGAAGGTTAACCATCTGAGATAATATTAGATGAGAGTGGAAAGAACACTGGGTCAGGATGAATGCTCCACGAAGGGCAGCCCTCTTGTTCCTTGAACTGGCTCCTCATGGCCAAGATATGGATGTGAATGTCTACCCATCAGAACCACACCAGGGGCTGTGCAATGTAACTGAAGCCAAGCACCCCAAAGCTTAAGTGCTTTGCACATTTCACTCTTACACAACTTATTAGAAGGTTCAAAGCCCTCAGAAATCAAAGAAGGAGGATAGATGCATGAAATCAGATTTACCAATTCTTCATTTTCAAACTCTGAGTTATACTGTGCTGCTTCTTCTGTCACTGGTTTCTGAACAATGTTTCTGCAGACGAGCCAGATGGTCAGGCTAGCAATGAACATCCCGATATCAGGCACGAACACTCTGATCCCATTGCCAGCATCAGCTCCCTTTAAGCTATGGAGGGAAAAAAAGAAAGGGAGGGGGAGGAAATTTAGTTGTTTTTCTATTTCTATGGTGACACTATCTCAAAATATGTCTGTATCTCATTAATGAATTTTAAAAAAGCAATACTCAGTTTCTGCCTACAAGGCACAGGAAAGCTTTTCATCGACCTCAGAGTCTTAATGTAATCTGCTAAGATTCAGGAAGGCACCAGGGTTTCACTGGAGTTTCAGAAATATTATAAAGATTCCTAAACCAAGTCTCACTTCTAAAACATGCTAATGAACTATATTGTCTTTAAATGAGCCACATGCGCAGTACAGACCCAGGTGTCAGCAATCTAGCTGAAGCAGTTAAAAAACTAGACACGTACTAGCAGTCAGGAGATATGTACTTTAGATGTAAATCAAAGCTGGAGGGAAAACAGAAAATGTTACAGCAATGCTTGAAGGCAGGACCTCTTCGTTATTTTGAATGTGTAGTTGATTTTGTTTTCCCTATTGTTCTAAGAAAGGCTGACCTGATAGGTTTCTTCTTTTAATATTGGAGAATGGACAGTGGACCTTAGAATTGAAAGGTTTGGGTTCAAGTGTAAGCCCGACACTGACAAGCGGCATTCCACTGGGGAGCTTCCCATGGCCATATGTTCCTCCTCCGTGTCAAAGAGATCCTATTCTTTGCCTTCTTTAACTCATTTGAGTCAAATGCAAGTGACTCAGCGTTTATCAGAGATAAAACCTGTTTAGGGACTAAGCGTGTGTGTGATCAAATACATACTGGATTCATTTACATTGTATATATTATATATTTTGACAAAAACATAAAATATAATAAACAGCAAGATCCCCATTGCCTAGATATAACCACTGTTAACATTTTGATAAATTAAAGCATTGTTAATGATATCTACCACTAACTGAGCAATTGCTCTGTGTTAAGAATTTGGTACATAGTATTTCATCCAACCAACTACCATATAGAGTTAGGTATTTTTATTTATCCTCTTTTTACATAAAAAAAAAAACAAGCTTCGGCTCCAAAAAGTAAAATTATTTCCCTGAAGTCACACAAATAGAGAGAGAGCAGAAATACACTCAAGCTCCCTTTAGGTCCAAATTTTATGCTCTCGACCATGGCATTCTCATGTATGTACCTGCCTGGTTTTTCTTTCCAAGCTTCCTTGATACCTCAACACACACATTGAGAGTTTACAATGCTAAGCTCATATGTTACCTATTGCTTTGAAAATGATTAGTTCATTTAATATATCACTAATATTTTTATGACTCACTGATGATTTTTAAACATCAGCACTTTCATGATCAGATAGCATGTAACTATTCCACTACTGTTGTACATTTAGATTGTTTCCATTTATTTGTTACTAAAATAATATGTAAAAGTTAAAACTTAATTACTAAAGAGTCTAGGAAAAAATCTTCGGACCAGTCTAATTTGCTTTTTTAAAAAGTGGTCTGAAAGAGAGCATGCCCCCCCATAAGCTTTGTTGTTTATACATGGCTATAAACCCTTCTGAACAGAGAAACATCAAAATGGGAAGAGATCCTTTTACCTCCATAAATGAAACAAACATGACTGTGTCAGAGGTATTAAAAACATTGCAAATTCCATTCATTTGCGGTACGAGGAAGAGAATTCAATTAAGAAAACTTCATCTAAACTACACTTATAACAGTGAAATCTAATGATTGATTTTATCACAGGACAAAGGTAGAAGTTTGTTGTATACTTTTAAAGTGATCAAACAGAGCAAACAAAAATTAGTATCATTACAGTGAGAAGAAAGAGGGGATCCAGGAGAGAGACCAGAAAACAAGGCCATGCTCTGGTGGGTGTTTGCTGTGTGGGGCTACGGTCAGGAGAGCTACGAGTCCTAATCAGGGCGATTTAGGGGAATAGGTTATTAGAGCTCCTTCATGGGAAACAAATTGACTGTGACGTTGTATGAAAAGCACTAACCAAGTGGAGTTGAGGGAAAAAGAATTCTTAAAGGAAAGGTGACAAGGACTCCTACTGTGGCCTCAGCTGCTTCTTGCCCCAAGGTACAGAGGTACAGAGACGTGGGAAGCCAGAGAAGAGCCTTCTGCCTTTCCCACCTGTGGACTGCATTAAGCTCCCAGGCTGCAAACAGTCACTTTGAGGAAACAGTCTCAGCTTTGTGTTTCTTGGTCCCAAAAGACACATTTCACAGCATGCATATATTACGAGAGTAAATGAATGCTGTTTGCAAAAGCAATCACTCCACTCGCTGTGATAGAATTCAGCTACTGGATCCAGGATTGGGCTGTGATCCCAATTTGCAATGAAATCATTCAGCCACAGAGGTGCTAACCTATTAACTACTACTCTTGGTTTGCTGAGTGAACAAAGCAGTGCATTCATAATGCTGCCACTGCAGAAACAAAGAAACTTTTGAAGGATATAATGAAGAGCATGTCCAATGAACAGGTCATAGTCTAATTGATATACCATTTGGAGATCATCTTATCAATCAAGTTTCCTTCTTCATTGTTTAGACCAGTGTCTACTAACGTACATTAATCAGAATGCTAGTCCTCAGAAATGAGGTGAATTAAACAAAACAAGGCAAAAGAAAAGAAAAAAAAGGTCTTTGGTCAAATAAGTGTTAGAAAAATCACAATGTGTATTACTGCAGTAAAGAACCTGTGAAGTTATGTAGTAAAACAAGAAAGTTGAGTTTATTTACGCCTCTGTTTCCCAAATTTATTTGACCAAAAATCATTTCTTAAAAATTTTATCTGGTGTCTGTCACATTTTACTGAGCTAGTGTTCATGGAACAGGTCTTAGGAAATGTTGAGCTAGAGTCTGCTCACTGGTCTAGATTTTTGATTGAAATGAATGGATAATTTGGAAATTATCCTAACATGCAGCTAATCCCTACAATTTCGATGTTTAATAGGTCTCTAATAACTTTTGAAGTCAGTGGCATCTCATTCCATTCTCTCATCCAATCGTCCAACTATCCATCCATTGACTCAGTAAGTCATTGAAATCATGAAGCTGGAAGATAACTAGAAATAGTCCAGTTCTCATCTGATAGATTGGAAACCAACAAGGGAAAGGGCTAAATGGTTGGCCCAGCTGCTCAGCTAGGGGCAGAGTACTTCTATTCAAAGCCTTCTGACGAGTATAGACAACTCTCACTGCACCTGTCCTTGCTCAGCCATCTTCTACCTACTGTAACAGGCTCCTTTGCCCACACTGCTCAGAAAATGCCATGTCAAGGGTCACTAGTGATCGCGCCACTGCAAGGCCCAACCCATTCTAATTCTCATCCTACCCCACCTCTGTGCTGCACTTGACAAGCAAGATCAGCCCCTTCTGCTCTCAAACCTACTCCTTGGCTTTCTACCTTTTTCTTCTAGTTATCTACCTACTATGGATGTTCCTGGAAACTTGCATTGCTTAGTGGGAAACCCCACTAAGAAGTACTGGGCTGGGTTTTGCCCATCAGACTCTTCTTTTCTCCTCAAATATGGATGAGTCTGCAAGGTTCTACTCTTCACTTATTTTTTTCTAACACTACATGGTAAGCCTGGATGATTTATCTACCCCCCCCAGGCTCCCCCAGGCACTAACATGATGACTTACAAATCTACATACCCAGTCCAAACCTTTCCCCTGAGACATACCAACAGATATCCATTTTCCTACTAGATATGTCCACTTCTAAAGCTTTTAAAACTAAATGTTATCTTACGTGGAAAACCCAAAAGACTCCACCCCAAAACTGCTAGAACTCATACAGGAATTCAGTAAAGTAGCAGGATATAAAATCAATGCACAGAAATCAGTGGCATTCCTATACACCAACAACAAGACAGAAGAGAGACAAATCAAGGAGTCTATCCCATTTACAATTGCACCCAAAACCATTAGATACCTAGGAATAAATCTAACCAAAGAGGCAAAGGATCTGTACTCAGAAAACTATAAAATACTCATGAAAGAAATTGAAGAAGACACAAAGAAATGGAAAAACGTTCCATGCTCATGGATTGGGAGAATCAACATTGTGAAGATGTCAATGCTACCTAGAGCAATCTACACATTCAATGCAATCCCCATCAAAATACCATCCACTTTTTTCAAAGAAATGGAACAAATAATCCTAAAATTTGTATGGAACCAGAAGAGACCCCGAATAGCCAGAGGAATACTGAAAAAGAAAAGCAAAGCTGGCGGCATCACAATTCCGGACTTCCAGCTCTATTACAAAGCTGTCATCATAAAGACAGTATGGTACTGGCACAAAAACAGACGCATAGATCAATGGAACAGAATGGAGAGCCCAGAAATGGACCCTCAACTCTATGGTCAACTTATTTTTGACAAAGCAGGAAAGAATGTCCAATGGCAAAAAGACAGTCTCTTCAACAAATGGTGTTGGGAAAATTGGACAGCCACATGCAGAAGCATGAAACTGGACCATTTCCTTACACCTCACACAAAAATAGACTCCAAATGGTTGAAAGACCTAAACGTGAGACAGGAGTCCATCCAAATCCTAAAGGAGAACACAGGTAGCAACCTTTTCGACCTTAGCCGCAGCAACTTCTTCCTAGAAACATCGCCAAAGGCACGGGAAGCCAGGGCAAAAATGAACTATTGGGATTTCATCAAGATAAAAAGCTTTTGCACAGCAAAAGAAACAGTCCACAAAACCAAAAGACAACCGACAGAATGGGAGAAAATATTTGCAAACGACATATCAGATAAAGGGCTAGTATCCAAAATCTATAAAGAACTTCTCAAACTCAACACCCAAAGAACAAATAATCCAATCAAGAAATGGGCAGAAGACATGAACAGACATTTCTCCAAAGAAGACATCCAAATGGCCAACAGGCACATGAAAAAGTGCTCAACATCACTCGGCATCAGGGAAATCCAAATCAAAACCTCAATGAGATACCACCTCACACCCGTCAGAATGGCTAAAATTAACAAGTCAGGGAACGACAGATGT